AGGTTTGGCCGCTATAACCCGTTCAATGCAAAAAGAAAAATTAAGTAACAAACAGTGTTCATGATGGTAACGAAAGCGGCTACTTTTGAAGTGAGGCAGTGTTCTTGGAAAGCGGGGGAGGAGGTTGAAGGTCAAGCTATGAAACACGAGAGAGAGAGAAAGGTAAAGAGAAAGAGTGAGGTAGGGAGAGAGGGAGAAAGAGAGTGGGAGATAGATAGATAGATAGATAGATAGATAGATAGATAGATAGATAGATAGAGAGAGAGAGAGAGAGAGAGAAAGAGAAAGACAGAGAGAAATGGGAGTCTGAATTCACAAAACGTTTCGTTTGCATGGTGTGTTTATGCCATTTACCAGACGTTGTTCGTAGTTGAATGCATAGCCAACGCAATAATTAGATTGAAAGTCGAGCTTTACTTGCTCCCTTTAGAACTGAACGCGTAAAGTTGCGCGAATGAAGAAGAAACACGACAGAACGTACAGGATGTTATAGGAAATTCACTGAACGTTCCAGTTCGGACAAGGTGACAATATGAAATCTAGTTCAGCGATATTGTTTTTATTACTGCGGAGATTACAGTCTCTTAACGAATTGTCAGGGTGATAGTAATCGTATGAAAACAGCAATTGTTTGAGGGAAAACGTTAAGCTAAATCAGTGTATAAGACAAAGCGAGTATGCATGACCTTTGCCTATTTATGAACCACTCGTCAGAAAGTCAGAAATACGCGCTTGCCCCCTTAAATGGCCGATGGCCCACTAAAGTTTGTATAAATGCCAAAATGATGGCACTAACGTCAGTTTCCACCTTTAAGATGAGAATACCGCTTGTGGAAACGATAGCTTCAACGATGCACCGCGTTCAAAAATATTTCGTCCCGCCATGTGTTGTGCAAGAACGGAGCAGTGGCAAGCGTAAAGCTTAAAAAAAAAAAGGAAAGTGAGTGATAGAGAGATAAAAAAAACGAGGAAGACAATGAAGACATACGAGCAAACAGTGCCTGTTCTTCCGATTTGGTTTTGTGAAAGTGCCCCGGAAGAGACCATGGTACAAAATAAAGTTTGTCTAAAATAGGAAATGGCAACACGGCGCCTTCCATTTAATTCCGGTGTAGTCTTCCAATGTCGATCTCCACCCGTCAATTTTTTATGGTAAATAAGTGGCGCCAGCAGCCAGTCTACGTTTCATTATTTTCGCAGTAATTGAAATAGCGATGACCTGTTCTATTTAGTTTTTTTTTTAAGAAATCGCAGAAAGACGTCGAACCTTGCTCAAGCTAAGAATGGCAATTTAAGATTCGATGTCGGAAATTAATTAAGGAGCTCTAAAGTAAACACCCACCTCTCGGGTGAAAAAATTTTTTTGTGAAAATAAATTGGCTGTAATGATAACAATATGTGCGATTTTTGTTCAAAAAAATCTAGCCTAAATACGGTATATTTGCAAGGAGAGGGGACTAGGAGCATCGGGCGAGAAATGTATATAGACGCACTAAAAAAAAATGGAAGTAGGAAGATGTAGAAAGAACATGCGATACCAATATTTACGGAGAACTTGGTGTCTTCTTTTACCGCATTATCTGAACGCACGTTTTGAAATATAAATTTAACGTCTGCGTAGGCTGCCTTCCAGAGGTTATTGCTAGCAGAATGATAAATGCATTCAGTATCGAGTGATATAAAAATACTTAATCGGTAGCCATTATCGGATGAAAATTGGCGAAGAGCGGTCGAATACAAAAAAAATGAAGCCAATTTCATGCCTGCGCGGCCTGAATAAACAGTGGAGCTGGCATTCAATGGAGCCCCTTCAGCTGACCAGCGCAGATTAAGTTCTGATGTTGTTCGTCTTCTTGTTCTTGTTTTTTCTCTCTTTCACACTTAGTTCTTGTTTGTCTGCGTCTACATATGGCAGTGTAGTTCCCCTGAGTGAAATGCACGAACAACTAACGAAACAAGAGGAGACGACGATGAGTCTTTCATTAGTCGTTCGTGCATTTCGCTCTGTGGGAGTACACTATAGTGCCAAACCAACTAGTCCAAGTTAAAAGGTTTTGCTAAATCTGCATGTTGTCTCTTTTTTATTTCGGTTTCTTCCTCTGTTTCTGTATAGTTCGATGAACTCTTAAGCCTGTTGTCGCTCCCTTACGGTCACTTCTCTTTCCTATTCCCTTCGTAAACTAAGCCATACAAGGCTATATGCCATGCTTTCTTTGCTTTGCTTTGCTATCCTAAATACATGGCACGTACCCACTTTGGGGGATTGGCCAAGAATGCAACGTATAGACTGGTAAATGTTATTTTAGGTAATCTATAAAATTCTAAACCAGAAATAAAAAAATAAATGGCAAATATACGTGAAATATTCATTTTAACTGCAAGTAATCTGCTTTTGAGCCTGTATTCCAGACTGCCGTAATAACCTGACGGGAATAATTTCTATTTCTGCCTTTTTCTTTTTCCTCCTCAAACTCCTTCAGCTGCAGTGTTGCAAATTCAGCTATTTGGTAGCTAGATCTAGATAGTTTTGGACTCGGGTAGCGACCAAAAAATATGACTTAGCTACGAGTAGCTAGTTCAGCTTTTTATTTGAAATTTAGCTCCTAATATAGCTATTTTAGCTAACTCTTGCTCAAGTGCTTTGAAAATTTCTAGAAACACTCGTACTGGAAATTTATTGAAAGAACTTGCATGGGGGATGAAAAAAAAATCACCCGTTCCATCTACAGAATTGTACCGATGGAAAGAATGATTGTTCGTCCACTTTATTTCGAATCGAAGTGTCGTTTTCCTTACACAGAAAACGTATCGGAATCGTATTGCAGCAATGTGATCTACCGGTTACGTTGGCCGTTCTGCTATCATTTGGGGTCTTTGCGCTCGGGCACTCGGGCAGGAATATTTTCGAAGCTGTCGAAAAGTTCATAGGCGACTCGAATGGATTTGGTAGGTGTATCAACTACTAACGGTTCATTATTCAGCCTTCCTAGTCAAAAGATCTTCAGTATCTGGGAGATCAAACTAAATAGTGCGACTTAATATTACAAATATTCATGATTAACGTTACGTTGAAAAATCATCTCGAAATTATTTTAGCTCTTGCTAAATATTAATCGTAAATTCAGTATGTATGATCCGCCCGACTCATGGCCAATCCCCCAGAGTGGGTAGGGGCCAATGACCCTATCCTCATTATCATCATCATCATCATGATATCGTGGCACCCACACAAAAAAGACAAGATGAAACGTGCTTGCGAACAGACTGAGTTCAGAGATCGGCACGACAGCTTCGTATTAATAGGCGAATAATGATGTTCTGCAAGTGGCAGATAACATCGAAAAATTGTAGGTACCACCAGGCTCATTGCCGTTTATCGCCACAGCTTCATATTTGTAGTGCCCTTTTACGAATTTCGGGGGCGAGTCCTTCCTGCATTTGTACATACCCTTAAGTAAGGGCGTATTCTGAGATTTTTGTCATGTGCTGCACATACCGTATACTCCATTTTTCATATTTTCACGAGCCTTATGCGTGCAGGGTAAATATTTTAACACGAACGAGCAATATGAATCTCGTGAAAATGGTAGTTAGGGGATTGAAGACACATTCTGTGACACAGGAATATAAAGCAAAAAAAAAATTCTGCATGCGGTGATGAGCAGAGTTTCAATAATCCCATAAAAGCTGCACCTTGAAGTTGCTTCACCTGCATGAATCTTGCATGCACCTTGACCTACAGGCACGTAGGTAGTTCACTAATTAAAGCAAGAAGAATGATGATTTGCCCTTCTAATTGGTTGTATTGTGGGGTTTTCTTTTCAGAGCTGGTCATTCAAAAATGATTCGAAAAAATATTTCGTTGTTCAATTATGCCATCTTCGATCCCTTATTCGAAATTTTCTAATAATCACATACCCTTAATGTTTATAGAACTCTGTGCATACGCAACTCCTCATTGATGAGTGAGGAAGCCTAGACGCTATTCTAAAAACTGCACCTGCCCTAAATTATTGGGATCAAATCTGGAACGCTTTTTTTTTCGTCCATACATATTCAACATAGTTGCGTGCAAGAAAATGTCACTTTGATTGATTTGTTTAAACTACAAGATAGCACAGCCGCCAGTAAATTAGTCGCGCTCCTAGAATGTGCCTAAACGTTTTCGGAAAAATGATTTAGCTGCTTTTTAGCTCCTTGCCAGTTTTAGCTACTTCTATAGCTGCTTTTATGCTTCAATATATAGCAATGTTTGCTCTCCGACTTTTAGCAACACTGATCACTTCACCTTATGTTGGGCCTCGCCCTGTTATTTTTCGGATACCGCACTCAAAATTCTACACAGAATGAGTTCCGAGGGATATCGCGGATTATTTCTTCTTATCGAATCGAATGGAACTTCTGTGCCGTAGTTATTGGACTCGCGGGAACAACTGTTCACGCAACACGAAATGACACAGATGGCTTCGTGAATTACGGTTACTAAATATTCTTCAATGACCTTCAGGAAACGCCGTGCGCACGGCGCGAACAAGTGTTTTGCCATTGTAAACATAAAATTATCGAACAATGCCATCACACACATTCATAGGATACAACACCCTTGCTCCTCCAGTATCACTCTTGCGCGGTTAAATACTTAGGATTTTGTGGCGCTTGCAGGCAGACCTTGGTCGAACATAAATCTTGTGTTCATATTGTGTCACAGACACTAGCAACGCATTCAGGAAAACGATTATATGCACCTGCTAGTAGTAATGAGCCGCATCGCAGCTCTTCATTGTGTTGCAGCTTCGTTCTGAATGTTTCATCACAACACTCGAAGCAAATGAAGTCGTCGTCACGTTTTTGCATTACAGAAGTACGGTGCGTAAAGTAAAAGAGCAAATGCAAGATTAAGCACACGAAGCTCTAATGGAGAGCTAGCTCTTGTTTAAGGTTAAATAACAACGAACAGCGTTTCAAGTTAGTTTCGATATTCGTATCATCTCTACTTTACTTCACGATGTCTCTTGACGTGCAGTATCCTTGCAGTAGCAGTACCGGCGTAGTTTGAAATTGACAAGTGAAACGCATTTGGAGTCGCCATCTGCGTACCGGTCAATCCTATCGACATCCGTAATCTCAGACTCGTGGTGTCCTTGATTAGTGCCGCTTCTTCCGCCAGCTTCGGCCTTATCATTGGTGAGGGCGGTCATCTTGCGAGCTCGTACAGAGAAAATGGCCGGGGGAACAGTCGACACAATTATCAGCACTTTGGTACTAGCCGAAGTACTGGAGGAGATCACCGAACTCTGGTGCTCGTCAACATGCTCGACTCTCCTTAGTGCTAAAGTGGTGCACTGATCCTTGAGGCTCGGCAGGGAACTGGTGGCGTTGTTGATGAATTCCAAAGCTCGTCGGGCGAGCGACAGTGTCCCGGGGCTGGCTAGCGGCGAGTCCTGGTTTGATGTGTCGGTGCAGGCGCAGTACTCCTTCGGTACAGACGCGTCGATGCACGTCCTGTCTGCCGGAATTGGGGCCAGGAGGCTGCGACCTCGGCGAGTGGGTTCGAGGCTTAATTCGCCAGGCTGGGTGGCTAAGGCCTTGAGCGTGGCGTGAACGTCATAAGGCGTGGTGAGGCGACGCTCGTTCGTGGTCAAACTCGAGGCCGCCCAAGGATACCTGCGAAGTGTTTGGGCAGTTCAGCAATCTGTCGCGGCTGCCTGATTAGGAGAAATTCTATTGGAGACGATAGAGATGCAAGATAGCATTTGATTTAGTGTAAACACAGTTGAAACACAACTAACTACATTGCAGAAGGTTTAGTCGTTGCCAAAGCTCAACAATCGTTGCTTCATGCCGTCGTAAATAAGAAAAGCTACACGTCATGCATTAGCCTGGAGTGCCGTTCATACGAATTACCAATGACCATCATAGGCGTACTCAAGGGGGAGAGGGCGGTTTGAACTCCCTCCAATTCAATTTTTCCTTGCGTGTATATAAACGCACCCACACAAACCCACGCATACACATATGTAAAGCATGGTTTTTCGGAGAATCGCTGACCACGCTCGTGATGAAAGTAGACCCCATCTAGGCAAAAGGGGGGTTCTCTAATATCTTTCTCCGGATTGATTTCTTGCACCGACTGGGGTTTAGAAATGCTAGTAGTTTCACCCTTTAATTTCAGGACGTATGTAGCATATAACACCATTTTGAAGCCAGAAGCCCCGCATATTAGGACGTTCAGCCATATACTTGTTGGAGTACTAAAAAAGTAAGTTTTTCACAAGGCGAAAAGCACTTATCATGAAAACAACGCACCTTTATGAGTAAAAACATTAAAATATTTATGATTTCTTCTTCGTTCACGAGAATGTTTTTTCGTATATTTGTCTTATCTGCATCACACCGTCAATATCCTTTGTGGATCTTAGTATTTTTTTTTGCTTTTTTACAAATTAATTAGCATATTACGTTTATGCATGTAATCTTCAGAGATGCACATACTTAACCAACAGACATTATTTTGGTGCATATTATCGGATTTAAAAACCCGATGGTAACCACCGCTGTGACTCAGATGTTACAGCGCGCCTTCTTATCCGAAAGGCGCAAGTCTCACAAAAAGCATGGTGATCGCATTTCAACGTGGATCAAATGCTGCAAGCCCGTATTATATGCAATTTCAGTTTACGCAAAAAAAAAAAACAGCAGGGCGAAATTATTCGGAGACATCCTTTACGGTGTCTCCCAAAGCACGAGCTACGTTGGGAGCTATATGTTTAACTTCATAAACTGATGAACGTACTATAATCCTGAACGTACACGTTACAAGAGTAGCCTCGCTGCGGTGATCTAATAGCTAAGGCACTCGGCTTCTGATCCGAAGGTCGTGGGATGGAATCGCGGATACGGCGGCTGCGTTTTCGATGGAGGCGAAAATGCTGTATGTCTGCGTGCTCAGATTTTGGTGTGCGCTAAAGAATCCCAGGTGGGCGAAATTTCCGGAGCACTCTACTACGGCGTCTCTCATAAGCATATTGTGGTTTTCGGACGTTAAACCCCACATATCAATCAATCAATCAATCAATCAATCAATCAATCAATCAATCAATCAATCTTTTTTTCGCAGTCCATGTATTTATCTTGCCCCCGGTTCCGTAAAAACCTTTCTGCAGCTAATGTGGTTTTTGTATTGTTGTTGTTATCTTTGTTAAGGACAAACACTAGTGTACTGTCCTGTGACGTCACAGGTCTAAAGTGATAAAAAGCGGCTGTTGAACATGGGGTTCTTTTATAGGCAATGACGTCGGAGTGGCGTCGGTCTTTCAACCGTGTTGTACCACTCGGCTTAGAGCGGATACGACTGTTCTCGCACACCTTTCAAGATCGGAGGAATGTCACCTGGTTTTGCATTTACTCTGTGATCGCACCACATTTCACAAAGCTCCGATGTCATATGATGTGACGTCACGTAGCAATGACGTTACAAAGTTTGACAATTGGTTACGTCATCATATGACGTTATATCTTGATTATCTTTTTTTTTGCATATCTCACTCCCGATTCCATGGGACGCCGACGCCATTGGTGAAATTTCGTGTTTGGTGGGGCATACGAAGTTTTAAGAAATTGGAAGGACGACATGTTCACCCGCTCATTTTTCAGTGGAGAGAATCGTACATCTTGAGCTTTCCCCAAAACAATTTTGTTGGAGTTACCGCGCGCACAAAGGTCAGTGCACTAACTGAACAGTGTCGTTTACGAAAAGGTCGCGCTTTTCAGGCACAGCGAAGTAAGAACTGAGACACTTATTCGCATTCACCTGTAGCTGTGAGTACGTTTCGTGCGTTGTTTGTGCAAGAGCAACGTGGGTCACGTTTCGATCTGCTTGCTTCTCTTCGAGTGACATTCCAATTGGTTGCTACCGTATTCATTGCTTCGCCTTTGTGGCAAAGCTGAGACTTGTAATGCGAAAAGTGTCTATGACACGGAATGGCATGCAGTTTTGCGCTCGAAATAAAATTCGACCAAAGCAACAAATCGACGAACCTTTTGACCAAAAACGGAGCGAGTTTGACGAAGCAGAACGGCATGCCATGTTCGGTGATCCCCGTGTCCCAGTGACTTTGGCCGACATCGCTGAGCAGCACGAGCGTAGTCTCGGAGGACGCGTTCCACCTCTCGAGGCTCGCGAGGAATGTCTGCAGCGGCTTGTCCAAGACGTGGGCCTTGGTGTCATTTCGCGACGAGTCTTTCAGATTGATGAACGCGAAGAATGGCCGCGCAGCGCCCGCTTCGGCCAACTCCGAGGCGTAATCGAGCAGTGCCTTACTGCGCAGCCGGTATCCCGAGCACATCGAAGGCTGTTTGTCGGAGATGCCCGAATCGGTTTCTCTAGAACTGTCCGTTTCATCGGGTGCGCTCATTCTGGAAGCCATGGCCAAAGGGTAGTGGTCGGTGGGCTTGCGGAGGAAACCACGATCGACGGGGTCGACAAACGCTCCTTCGGCAGGAGTCTCCTCGATGTAGAGCGTCCAGTGACCCGTCTTCTTGTAGTCATTCCAGAGTAAGGGCAGAGCGTCGTAATAACTTCCGGCAGAACGGGACCAGGCCTCTCCCGCGGTCATTCCGCCCAGTAGGGCCACGGCGCTTGGGAATGAGCCGGAACCTACGGCACTATACCCACGCAGCTCGTGCGAATACAGGGAGTGCCTAAGGAAGTCCGCCGTGTATCTGAAGTTTCGTTCGAATTCACTGCGCGAAGAGGCGCCCACGGAGACCACGAGCACGTTGTGCTTCTCCTTAGGCTTGGAGGTTGTCTTCGCGTCTGCTGGATGGTCACTTCTCCTCGCCACGAGGTGCAGACCGTCGTAGATCGGGTTCGCCTTGTGAAGACAACGAAGCCTAAAGTATTCGGCATCGAGCCGAATCCCGGTCGTCATATTGCGCCACGCTTTTTCGAACGGTCGCGGCCGCCTGTCTGACGCAAACGTGTCCGCCGCAGTGTCCAGTCCGGCGTAGTAGCAGGACACGTCTCGAAACGAGTGGATTCCGTACGTGTTGTCGAGCCTGGCGTGGTTCAAGAATGGACGGTCGAAATCGAAGTTTACGGGAGGCTCGCGACCAACGCATACCTGTCGGTGCGTCGACGCTGACTGGTCGGTGGAATGCCACTCTCGTAGTTGCACTTTGCATCCCGGCGTGTCGATCAAAATGTGCGTGTCGTAGAAGAGACCAGTGCTGTAATCAAATGGCGTCAAGCGACTGTATTTCGCTGAAAGAAATACGACGGCAGCAATCAGCAGCAGTTTAACGGCTGTACTACGCTGCAGCTTTGCTACCGGGATCATTCTTCTTCTTGTTCGTCTTCCTAGCTGATTCGAGACATTGGGAAAGAAGGTAGAACCCCATAGGCGCGAAAGTGCATGCGACGTAATGATGATGATGTCTCAACTAGGGCTCATACCCACTCAGCGGGATTGGTCAATAATTGGTTATGGCCATTTAATACTTTTGTATCTGGTCATGAAACTCCCGCGAAAGTTTCATAAGGGTACAAAAGTGGCCGCCAGAGGCGCCACCGTAAGCAGGAGGGCTCAATCGGCCACGCTTGGCAGGGCTGTAGCGCGTTCGCGGAAGTGCTTCCCATCGAATACACTTCAAACATTTTTGTTCTCCGTGTTCTCGCTAACAATTCATAGCAGCTATTAGTAGTGTCAAAGTGGCCTATCATGCGCGTTGTCAGATTGCCCATGTCCTTGATTGCTGGCAACGTTTTCACTGAGACCGTGTGCCAAGTGACGCGCATTCGTAGCGTTCCCAAATTTCTCAATTCCTCCATAGTCGCTTTCGGGCTTAAACCGAACACTGTGACTGGTTCTAGATGACTGAAAGGTTAACATAGTTTGCACAAGAGATTGCGGAGTAGCCGTGCTCTGGCTGCACGTAACGTTTATTTTCAGAATAATTGTCACTTTATTCTATAGGGCATCACAAAGCAGCCAATAGAAGTTCTCGTACCAGCAAACAAATATATATATCCAGGTCACTTGGCATTAATAGCCTTGAAGTACCTTTTCATCGTTAGGGATAAAGCCGAAATATTAAAAGCTCGGAATGAGACACGACAAGACGAAAAGAGATGCTCAAGTTGTGTTCTTTTCTTTTTTTGTTTGGTGCCATAATCTGCGTCTTTGATGTTAAAGATTAAAAAAAAATGAGATGAAACCGTTGTGAGCCGCTAGATATATATGCACTATGTGCTATTTCGAAACGAAAGCTTTTCATGTTACGCATGCAGATTTGATAACACAGCCGGATTTCGATATACGCGGCTTTTTTTTTATCTATTCCCATGTACTCTCCCACTGACCCCAACTTCAATGTCCGCGTTCTAATTAGCCACCCTGTTCCTCCTAAGCGCGCATATAAAAATCAACCAGGATTTACGCCATCTATCTACGCCAGCACCGCCGCGTGGAAAGTGCGGGCGGCGTATGAAGCTTTCCCATTGAGTGACGCGGGTGTTTCACGACCTGAAAAAAGTATTAAAGGACGATGGTTATATCAACTTTTAGGCCTTTCAAGTAAGAAATAATCCGCCTTCTTCTTCTCGTCCTCCGCGCATTGCACACACCCATTGGAGGGGACTGCCAAGTAGAAGGTGAATACTTCCCATAATTGCAGTAATATGTTATTCTTAATTACACCAGTTAATAATTTCAATTATTTGTAATAGTTGTAATTGTAACCACCACAACATAAATCTTAGCATAGTAGGCCGGCATTCGCTATGCTATATTTCGTCATTGTGGTGTCCGCTTAACACTTGCAAGAAATTTCGTGCCAATCGTTCATGCAGTGGCTGACGACGATGATGAATAATGGCAGAAGTGGGTATGCGCCACAGTTAATAGGTGAACAAGATCAAGCTTTTGTAAACGGTTGGAGCGTTGGACGACCCACTGGTTGCGCAATTCGCATTATGTGACACCTGATTATTCTTTTCCTGTTAAAAGGGCTTTATTACTCATAATAACGCGATTCTTTTCCGACATCAAAAACGGCTAAGGCCAGTTTACAAAGGAGTTCCAAACACCAGGGCCCAACACTAGCCAAAAAATTACACCATCTCCTCTAAGGAGACCAAAGGGTTATGCGCAGTATCGCGGGAGTTTCCAACACAACATTAACGCGATGCATGGTATTGAACCAAGTTAACAACGCAATAACTAATAACACGCAAGGTTCACCGCAAAGGTGACACTGCAAACCGGTAATCACTGCCGTTAAAACACCGTCGAAACTCCTCGCGATGCTCCACATATCCACATGGTCCCTTTCGCGGAGATGGCGTAATTTTAAGAGTGAAGCTCCTCTTAGTCTAACGTTGTCCCGCGTCAGGCGTATTCCAGCAGTATCCCCTGAACAGTATAATGAATGGTGCTATCTTGTATAACTATTTACAAACTGCAGTTGAGTGAGGATATTCCAGATGGCGCTGTACCTCTACTCTCCGATCGGCTGCTGCGTGGGCTGCGCCTGGGTGCGCGGGGAACGAGTGCGTCTCTTATGTCTGCTGGATTGTTGCCATATGTGGCGGATCGTTCGTGGGGCATGCACTAAACGAATTGGTGGGCGCGGAGGGACTGGACGGCTCGTGCTCGTCGCGAGACAGACAGACAGACAGACAGACAGACAGACAGACAGACAGACAGACAGACAGACAGACAGACAGACAGACAGACAGACAAAAAGACAAACGGACAGACGTACGGACAGACAGATGGACGCACGAGTAGACGGGCGGACAGATGCAAGGACGAACGCACGGACGGATGGATGGACGGAAGGATGCACAGACGAACGAATGGACGGACAGATGGACGCTTTGATCCATTCCTCATCATTCACTCCATGGGTATGCTGCGAATTTTTTGTTGGTATGGATGTATACTATGAGTGAGGCTGACGCTAGGGGTAATGCCACCACCTGGCGTAGTATCAATGCATCCACGGAATTGCACTTCTCCTTTTGGAAATGTGCTGAATGAAAACGCTTCCATAGTATATGGGTGTGGCGCAGTGGGCAGCATGCTTGGTCTTTGTTGCAGTGGGCCACAAGGTCGTATGTATGACTCCCGTGGACGAAATTTTAAATGCGAAACAGCGAAATTCGGTGACTTTGACCGTATCTATCTATTGCTGTGCCGCGGCCTTCCCAGTCTCTACTGGAAATCATCGTCTTGTGTGGAGTGACGTTCCACAGCAGCTTCCACTACAGTGGTGGTGCGGCGAGTCTGCTGTGCCCGCGGACCATAAACCCGTTGGACACACCTGACTACCCGGAGGGACGCTGAGCTGCTGCCTCCTCTTCGAGTTACACCGTACAATGGGCCTCGCATCTGGACTTGTTCCGCGGGAACGCTTTCCACGTTCCTGGATCAGCGGCCGTGCCTTGGTGCATTCTCCTCTTTGGGGCCTGCGAGGATGAGTCAACATGGAATCTTGCCACCCGAAGGATTCTCCTTTACGCGAGGGGTTTCAGGTCATTGAACTAAGCCAGTGGTGCTGTATTGCTCCTCCCTGTGCAACAAGGTGTGCGTGCCCTTGAACTTTCATTGAACGAGGTTCGACTACCTGCTCGGGGGCGAAATGAAGGAGGACGGTCCAATTGGAGGGACATGACCTCAATTGTTTTCCCTCGCATAGAAGCTTAGGAAGACAGAGTGTATGAAACACAAGCGCAGAGATGCTTGGGTGTGCTTCTTCTGTTTCATGTTGTTCCACGTTACTCTAAACAAGTAAATACTGTACATAAACGCTTCTTTTCACCCACTCCGGCTCCTCGACTCGTCTTCTCCTGAGACTCGGATGGCTCCAGCCAGGACCACGCTACCCCAAGTCGCCACAGTCACGGACGTGGTGGCATGTCCCGACACCTTATTTCGAACACTATCTATCTATCTATCTATCTATCTATCTATCTATCTATCTATCTATCTATCTATCTATCTATCTATCTATCTATCTATCTATCTATCTATCTATCTATCTATCTATCTATCTATCTATCTATCTATCTATCTATCTATCTATCTATCTATCTATCTATCTATCTATCTATCTATCTATCTATCTATCTATCTATCTATCTATCTGTCTGTCTGTCTGTCTGTCTGTCTGTCTGTCTGTCTGTCTGTCTGTCTGTCTGTCTGTCTGTCTGTCTGTCTGTCCGTCGCCTACGACTTTTAGCTCTCCTGGCCGTTTTGATAATTGGATTTGTACCAAAATTTATATGGCATAACATGGCTGCATGACGAGCATAAGTGACTAGTCATAACATGAAAATCGTGACGTGTATGTGATGAATGTCGTGATTTACTTGTCATTGTCTTGACGCTCCTGTGATGGTTTCGTTCACATGACACATTGCAAAACTGGTATGGTATGCCATGACGACATGGCGAACATAAGTGACAGGCACTCACGTGGAAATCATGACATGCGTGTCATGTAAGTTATGACTACATGCCACGATAATGGTGCGCTCGCGGTTGTTTCGCTAGCTTCACATATACCCAATTCGGTATTACGTGACGTGAATGAATGGCGAAGGTATATGGCTGGTTGATGATTGATATGTGGGCTTTAACACCCCAAAACGACCATATGATTATGAGAGATGCCGTAGTGGAGGGCTCCGGAAATTTCGACCACCTGGGGTTCTTCAACGTGCACCCAAATCTGAGCACACGGGCCTACGACATTTCCGCCTCCATCGGAAATGCAGCCGCCGCAGCCGGGATTTGATCTCGCGACCTGCGGGTCAGCAGCCGAGTACCTTAGCCACTAGACCACCGCGGCGGGGCGTATATGGCTGGTGAACACATGATAATAATAACATGCGTGTCGTGAAAACATGACTACATGCCCCGCTTATGATGCGCTCACAGCCGTTTCTCCAGCCTCACATATAGCAAATTTGGCATTAAGTCACGTGAATGGATTGGATGAAGTGGCTTGCGTCTGTAAACCTTTCGCATATAGCTGCATTCAGTGTAATAGGTTCCATTCTTTAAACCATACCTGCAATCATGCGCGTGAAATCTCTTCGAACTTGAAATGCATCCACTATTAAGTGAATACGCAGAGTAACGCGTCTTCGCTTAATAGTGGGTGCGTATTCCCTTAACGCGGTTTGGACTCCTTGGCAATAATGCTTAGGAGTCCAAACCGTTTCTTGTTTCTGCAAAGTATTCACGCTGGTATCGTCTGATGCAAGGTGTGTCAACACCGATAGACTGTCTGATGCAACTAGCGCCAAAACCAGCGAGAGAGCCAGGCTGGT